ATTCGATTGCTTGTGTTGCTGATTCACGGAGTTACTCCTTGCTCGATGTTGGCAGGCAGCTTAGAATTCCGCTTATGACCATATCCTCCTTGGACGACTCACAGCCTGGGGGCGAAATAGGCCAGGCTCAAGACATTGCTGGGAGTGTTGATGGCGGTATCTTGAGAAGTGCCTCAGCCGCTCACAACCGGCCACTTTTGTCCGCTGGTGACCCTCACGGCCATGCTAGAAGCACGAGCCTGGGCGGTCTACTTAGCGGTGGACGTAGGGACCTCAGCCCTCGAGGAGCCGATGACAGCGCTCGTCAAGGATCGTCACCGCCAACTCCATCCATGAGTCCAAGACCTTCGGGTGAAGGCCCCCTGCCGCCGCCACTAACAGACAAGCCCCTTCCAGCAGCACCTGGCACTACACGCTCAGAGAACTCACCAACAAAGACGGCTCCCGTCTTCCTCAAACCCCATATTGTTTCGCCAACAGCCGAAGAATTTCTCCTCGTCACTGGAACCGGACCGTTGGACCCCGGCATCGGGATGTTTGTGAACCTAGATGGGGACCCAACCAGGCCGACTGTCGAGTTTGACAGATACCCCCGGGAAGTGGTGGTTGACGGTGGTTTATCTAATCAGGCGTCATCGAGGATGGCACTGGAACAGGACGAGGAGGGGTATGTCATTGCATCCATGACAAAGGATTCGGAAGTAGGGCTTCGTCATGGGCTGGAAATCCAGAGATGGGATTCGGACGGGGCGGATCCAGAAACATCCAAATGGTGGTTAGAGACGGAAACCTCAGGAGGAGATGAAACGACACCTTTGGGTATTCGCTCGCTGATGGGCACCGATGAGACCCATTTTGAAGAGATTGTCGACAGACTTTGCCAGAGAAGGTTTTCCCCTTTTCCTGGAGGACTTGCCGAAAACCCGATATTTTCACCGAGAAGTGCAGACTCTCGCACCGCATCATCTCTAGAGCAGATGACCAAAGAACGAGAACTCTTTGAGCGTGATGTCGACTCCCAGGAAGAAGACGCATTACCTGAAGGGTGGGAAGAAAATAGAAACGCCGAAGAGAGTGAGTTTGCAAGACGATTAGCAAATGCCAACTCGAGGATAGCAGTATGGGCGGGGGATCATATCTGGTGGGCGATTCGGAACCCCATGGTGCTTCGACTGGAAGCCCGACTCGAGACTGCATGCGAGCAAGATGGAACCTCCGACCCCGCCAAACTCAATCGGCGTGCAATTTTCACAGTACTCAACTCTTTCAGAGGGCAGGATGCCAAGTCGGAGCTAGAGTTTGTGACTTTCAGTTACCTGCGCCAGCGTGCTGGTGTCCTTCTCCTCACCAACCTATTGCATGCAACAGAGGCGGCGCCTTTCACAGATGCAGAGTTGAACGCCTTGGAGGAAGTTTTGGTGGAGAGCAGCCTGGATCCTCGCGTTGTTTTGTCTTTGATACCCGGTCTACGGAACGAGATTGTTGAGAGCCGAAGAGGCATCTGGATCTTTGGTGGCGTCAAGAGAACGACAGAGAACTACTTGGAAAGCGAGCATTTTCACAAAGACAGTCATACCATAGGGGACCTCGACAGTAAAGTCGTCCAGTTCCTGCGGCGGTTCTTGGCCGCTTGGAGAAAGAAGAAGGGATTCGGCAGCGTTGCAGACGAGAGCGAAGTGTTCCGGACCGTCGATGCCGCGTTGCTGCTGGTCCTCCTCGAGCTCGACCAGAATTCACCCATGGGCCTGGCAAGGAAGAGTTCTTCTGTCCGATCAGAGCTGTACGACGTCGTCGACAAGGGCGTAGACTGCTTCGATCGAGCTGCCTCGCTTTTGGAGTCATACCACCGCCTCTTCGTACTCAGTCGACTATACCAAAGCCGCAAGATGGCGGGCGACGTTCTTGCGACCTGGCGGCGCATCGTTGAGGGTGAGGCCGACTATGGTGGTGAGCTGCAGGATGGAGAACAGCGCGTCCGCGAGTATCTCACAAAGATCAGCAGCCAGGCCCTTGTCAGGGAGTATGGTGTCTGGCTCGCGAGCCGCAACCCGAAGCTGGGCGTACAAATCTTTGCAGAAGATAAGGGCAAGGCGCCCGGCTTCGAACCGGCAGAAGTCGTCGCCATCCTTCGTGAAGAGGCTCCCGATGCCGTCAAGTACTACCTCGAGCATCTTGTTTTCGGTAAGGGCCACACTGGCTACGTCAATGACCTCATCGCCTACTACTTGGACATTGTTCTCAGCGATCTAGAGACGTCGCAAGAAAGCAGAGACGCGTTCGCCGGCACATACACATCCTATAGAGCACTACAGGCTCCAAAACCGACATATCGACAGTTCCTCACAGATAACGCCCCCGAGGACGACGAGGTCTGGCAGAGCCGACTGCGGCTCCTGCAGTTGCTGGGTGGTGCTCACCAGTACGACGCCGCCGCTATCAGAGAGCGCATATCGGCGCTGCCGGACGAGCTTCTCGTCCCAGAGACCATCATCCTAGACGGACGCGAAAGGCGGCACGAGGACGCCATCCGGCTACTCGTACACAAGCTGGGCGACTACGACACGGCTGTTTCGTACTGCCTGCGCGGCGGCTCGAGCATCTACACCCGCCCGGACGGCCGGCGGGAGAGCACGCCGACGCACGACATGCAAGCGCGGCTATTCCGGGCCGTTCTCGGCGAGTTTCTCGCCATACAGGACGTCAGCGACCAGATTGAGCAGACGAGTGCCCTGCTCGAGCGGTTCGGGGGCTGGTTTGACGTCGAGGATGTCCTGGCGCTGATTCCCGACCAGTGGTCCGTGGAGGTCGTGGCCGGGTTCTTGATGACGGCTTTACGGCGTATTACGCAGGAGAGACACGAGACGACGGTCACAAAGGCCCTCAGCTCGGCGGAGAACCTGAGGGTGAACCACGACTTGATTATCAAGGTGGATGAGAAGGGTCCGTCGATTGAGGCGCCTAATTAGCCGTGTTTGGTGTCCTTGGATTCGAGGAGGGTCATGTTTGATGTAGAGTAGACTTGGTCCGTAGAGGACAAGCATAGCAAAGTAGGAGAAAGCACGATAATGATGATGCCCCCTTAGAGCTTTGTCGCCTACTTATATCCGGTGGCAGCATTGCAGGTGAAACGGGAGGAGTCGTTGTACTTCCTTGACAACAAACAGCATTGAGGATGCAACGCTCTTATGCCCAACCAGCCACGATGCTACCATGCATTGGGAATGTTTTCGAAAACCACCGAGCCTACCGAGCAGCCCGCTGTCGAATGTGAAAAGGAACGACATTGAGCCAGCATAGACAGGAGAGCAGGAAGATAAGTATCAGTGCGGATGGGAATCGAAAAGGCCCCTTGAACCCCCACCGGCCGCTGCATCCGGTCATGCAAGATAGGTAGGTAATAGGTCTGCTTTTGTTGTTTACCCCCGCTCTTGAATCTCGGGACGGGTCCAAAAATCACGGGAAATTTTCCAAACTTGACGCAAGGAGACGTTGCTCACTGCGGGCTGATATCAGGCTACCTATCTTACTTATCACCCTACCTACCTCAATCTGCTTACCCAGCTCCTCGGGTCCTGGTTGTCTCGCGAAAGCGAATCCGAAATTGTGGGTGGGAGGCATGCGGGTTGTTTCTGTCCAGCTGTCACAGGCTTTCTCATTCCTTCCGCACTCGGTATTCAATGTAAACGAAGTACTTACTACGAATAGTACTACATGTGAACGAATAAAAGATTACTGATCAAGTTTGAATTTCGTGTCTCATATGAGGCTCGGGAATGGGACTGAGGAAGATATGCGCAGATGGTGGAGCTGATGCGAAAATGGGAAGAATGCACGATGGATGCTTGGATACTTGGGTGAGCCTCGGAAGGGAATATAGTGCAATAGAGTTGATTACGATACTGGAAAGAGGTAGGCAATAAAGGCATACAATGGGGAAAAGGTCGATGGTGCGGCGTGGAAAACTTCAATGGACTCAGTTCCTGTAAACAGGCCGGACCCCCTTTCGGACCAAACTCCGTCCCCTTTATAGCTCTAGCCCTAGGGATTCCATCCGAGCACAATGCATCCTCACTCTACGATTCTCCCACTCATAGCTCTCACCCGGCCCATCAGCCATAGACATTGAACTCCAATACTCGAGTCCCCAGCTTGCATCTAGGCCCCCCGTGTCTACGCCCAAAGGAGCTTACTCCGGCAACAGTCTAGGTAAGAAAACCTCAATACCTAGAACGGCGACGACGGTTTCAATGATTCCAAAGCGTCCAAAAGTTCCCAAGCAAGATCTCGAGAAAGGGGGCGGCCTAGGACCAAGCCACAATGTCTAACATTGAGCCAATCAAGAGTCATAGATCAGGGGCTACTCTCAGCTGAAAATAGGATAGAACCCCTCGTGCCCCATAGGGGCCGTATCCGTAGGGCGCAAACCTCTGAGCTCTTGAGGGCGCCTTGGCTTTCAGCCGCACCGGGCCTGGTACCCGTAACACGAGCACAGCAAAGCTGCTTGTTTTGCTTTCCGTTCGTTGTCTGCTTTTGTTTGCTTCCTGCTGCTTTCTACTGCTTTCTTGCCATACCGACGTAGAAAAAGCCGATTGCGGGCGAAACAAACGCCCCCCCCCCCATCATCGTCCTCGCGGGCGCTAGCTTTTACCCCCTTCATCCATCTTTCTCCGAGGAGATGAAGAGTTGAGTCGAGAAGCAATAAAGGCAAAAGTTTCCCCCCGAAGAATGGAGCGGGTACTTCGGATAGGGCCTAGAGCCTAGCAGCCTAGAGCTGAATCAAGAAATGATGTCGTTGGAATGTCTCAGCATCAGAGAGAGAGAGAGAGAGCGGACTTTTCAGGTCCGCACCAACGGTCCTTATAAGTTGAAAACCACCCCCGTTTCCGCTGCCATGGTTGGTACCTAGGTAGTCCATCGAACTGTTTGGGTGGATTGGTGGCACAATTTTTGTTATTCGTTCCTTTTCCTTTTTCCCTTTTTGTTTTTTTTTTCTCTTCCTTTCACGCAGCAGTCTTGCGTTTAAGCACGGCGATCGTCAACCACCTCTTGAGAATCGACTTATCCTCGACGCCCCGGTCCCAAACCCACGCCCGCTCCTCGCCGTCGCAGTCCCGCTCCCACATGGTCTCGACCTCGAGCCCGGCCTCGGCCAGGGCCGCCTCCTCGAAGAAGCCGCGCATCTTGGGTCGGCCCGTGTGGAACCCGGCCACGACCCAGCAACGGGCCTCGTGCCCTTGCCGGAGGAACCAGGCGATGGACTTGTGCAGGTTGGTGTGCTGCCAGGGCATCCAGAGGCAGTCGGCGACGAAGAGGCGGTCGAAAGCGTGCTTATTGGCGAGGGAGAAGGGGTCGTCGAGCTCGCCCCACGAGTGGCCCTCGACGAGAACCTCGCGGGCCGTGAGGGCGCCCGTCGGGGAGACGGCGGGGTCGATGTTGCGCGCGGCGTTGAGGCGGAGGGACTTCATGACGGCCGGGGCGGGGTAGTCGGTCAGGACTGTGCGTTGGGCGCCGAGAAGGGCGGACATGATGCTCGGCAGGGCGGTGCCGGCTCCCAGCTCGAGGGTGGTTTTGCCGCGGACGTCAAAGTGCGACAGGGGCGGGCCCAAGCGGACGGGGACGGGCGTGTCTATGCCCAGCGTGCCGGCCTCGACGAGCTCGCCCAGCTGGAGACTCGAGTTCCAGAGGTAGTGGCTGAAGAGCCTGCGGTCGTCGGCGGCGTCGGGCTCGGCGAGCTCAAAGATGAGGGGCCGGCGGAGGTGCGGCGAGGTGTACTCGATGCCGTTGGTGGCGTCGCCGTGCTGGTTCGTGACGTCGTCGGTGAAGATGACGCCGAGGGAGGACATGAGGTAGTCTTCGGGGGACTCGGCCGGCGGGCCGGTGAGGGAGATGCGGGATGTGAGCGCCATTGTGTGACGGGAGGGACGAGGAAGAGCGCTGGGGTTACGGGGTGGCGAGGAGGAGGAGGAGCAGGAGTGGGCGGTCGAGAACGCCAGGGACCAAAGGACGAAGGACCGAACCGAACGAATGCGAGTACGACGACGAGGACGACGACGAGGACGATGACGAGGACGAGGACGAAGCCGACAGCGATATGCCGCGAGTAGAGTGTCGTCGAAGCGCAGTGGCGTTGAGGGTATGCGTAGTACGACAAAAAAAAAAGGTTGGCAAATTGCCGTCTTTTTTTTTTCCTTCGGCTTTGCGATGTCTGCGTGCGTTTGGTGTGTGCGCGCGTCTGCAAGGACAGGAGGTTAAACGCCCATGGCGGGGTAGTCGAATTGCCTCGCCATCCACCATCGAATTCACAAAATACATGTCTCAATGATCGGTCAGCAGCGACATGCATCATGGGGCACCGCGAGTCCGAACCATCAAAAACTTCAACAGCGAATAAAAAAAAGACACCGAGACCGGTAGCATCACGAACAGGGAACACGTCAATTCAAAAAAAAAAAACAAGACGTGACGAAGAAAATGTGGCGTCTGTCAATGCCGAAAGAACCTCGCGGTGGCACCGACGGGAGGAAGAAGGGGGGGGAGGGGGGACGTCCGCACAGCCGCCCATGGTCCATCAGATCAGAGCAGAGCCTCAAGGAACCGCGTCCGCGTCTGGTGTCAATGATTGTGGGATGAAAAGTCATTGAGCCTCACAACGTCATGAAAGGACGCAAAGATGGGACGGGAGGCGTAGGGGACGCGGACGCGCAATTGCGGCACAGGGCACCGCTGTCTCGTAGGAGTTTACATAAGTTTGGTCCTTAGGTAAGTGAGTATTCCATAAGTATAGGGTAAATGTTTGTTAGTAGTTGGATGGGGTAGGGTTGACCGCGAGGTGGAAGCTTCCCTGAAGGGAGACAGACCGTCAGGATAATCCAGGTTGGTGATGATTGCGTACCCTATTAAGGTACTTTATCTCTTACTTCATACCCTCTGGGATACTCTGCAAGGTACGAACCTGGAGCAAACATCACGGGCGCGGATGCTGCCGCGACACAGCCACACTGGCCACGATGTTTTCCTTCCCTCCAGGTTCTCGCCTGGGCTGTCCCTCGGTCGGTGCGTTGGGGGCCTCTTTCAGGGACCACACCGCCGGAGAAAATCGTCGTCAGCGGGTTCTGCCCAGTGCCAGTGGAAGGGAAAAGCGCGGGTGGCTGTGCAAACACATCGCTGCACTGCTGCAGAGTGGCCCCCCCCGTAGCCGAAGCTTAGCACTGAGGTGGGGACTCGCAGGAAACCCGCATCCCGACAGCGGTGTCCCTCCGCTCCACTCCTCTCTGGGCTCCCTCTCCGTCATCACCACCATCATCACCACCACCACCATCGCCCGGGGACCTCACTGAAAAAAAGATAATAATAAAATAAAAACCAGAGGCAGCACAGCCACCAGACTGCCTCTGTGCCGTCCCCTCGCACCCGCATCCGCAAACCAGATCCTGTCCCTGCCCCAGATGATAGATCCAACCATTCACACTCTCCAAAAGTTACTTTCCCCAAAGTGCAAAATGCTTGTAATTAGCACACACACACACACACCGTCAATAGACTGCGGTCACGACATGTGCATGCCACTTATGCATGGCTATTTTCATCATTCTCATCAACCACAGCATTATGATGCTTACCGTACCTTACATTTTTCATCCCATCGTCATCCACATCCCACCCCCCCCCCCCTGACCACAGGCCTAGGTAGAACCACAGGTACGGGATACGGTCTACCCAGACAGGCCGGCACGCCGGTCACCGGTGTGTGTGCGCTCGCGGCAGAGCGGAAAAGTCGGGAGGAGAACCAGTCGCATCGTCGTTTACTCTCGCTGCCTAGCAAGACGGGACCTGGGCAACTGGGGAAAAAGGCGGCTAGGCTAGCTGAGGTCGCACAAAACAAAAACCCCAACGGTGCAATCGTGATGAAGCCTGATAGGGATCCCATAGGGCCAAGAAGGCCATCCCATCCCCGATCCGGCAATACCGCTGCTCACCCTTCAGCACGGCTATCCCATTCTCTCTCTCCAATGCTCCATCCTGATCCCCCCTCCTTGCTTGACACTATTGCTGCCGGTCTTCGCTGCCAAAATCACTGACCCTGTCGCGCTGTCAAAACTGTCAGCCTGTTCCTGTTCCTGTTCCATCATCCCTTGTTTCCGACAGCAATCGGATCGGGACTCGTTATACATATCCACATTATACCCGAGGTACGATATCGCGACAGCAGACAAATGATCACGAGCGAGAAGAGTGAGAGCGAGAGCGAGAGCGAGTGATAAGTGTCTCATTGTTTTATACCATCAAGCCTTGGGCCGTAATGTAGTATAGGGTATCAATCAAAATGCTCCTTTTTCTTCAGGTGCAAAACAACATGGAACGTATCCGTCCAATCATGAACCTCATGTCCCCCCTCCCGTCCTCGTAAAGCCAGTCGTTGTAGTCCCGTACACGTCTGCGCCAAACCATGCAACACCAAATGTAGTGTAGAGAAATTTTTTTTTTGGCCGCTCTTCAAGTCGCTTCCCGCACCGCAAAAAAAGAAAAGAAAAAGCCAAATGTAGCATCCCAATGTGCCTGTCCTCCACCGCCTTCCATTACTGAGCCGTCTGGCAGCTCTCGAGCATCGCCTGCATCTCCCGCAGCTGCTCCTCTGTCGGATCGTCAGAGATCCAGGGCCCCTTCTCCTCGTCCGTAGCACCAAGGAAGCCCTCGGCACGCTTCAGTGTCTGCACGTCCAGGTCCGTCACGTAGTTGTTGCCGTCCGTGAGCTTGATGCGCACCTCGTGGTCCGTCGACAGCATCATGTCGTCCTTGGCCAGCCGCCGGGGTCCATCAAACACTGCCATCACCCGCTTCTTCATCGTCATCTGGCCCTTATCGAAGCCCCAGGATGACGGGTAGTCGCGTCGGTTCTTGCGGCCCTTGGCCTTGACAGGCATCGGACCGCCTCCCCGGGAGTGAGTGAGGCCGCGCGACTTTTGAACACCGTTGACTGGGTTGCCCTTCCTCTTGGGCGACGCGCTGACGCGCTGCTTGCCGTCTTCCTCGTCATCGTCCTCCATCGTGTCCTCGTCGTCCTCCTCCTCGTTCGAGGGCATCTGCGTCTGCGTGGGGAGGTGGTTCTTCTCCAACGTCTGGTGCACCTCCTTGTCGTTCTCAACCTCGGCCAGACGCTGTGCGTTGATGGCCTCAGAAGGGTCCTCCTGCTGCACAATGCGCAGCACACAGTCGTCCAAGTGCTCGTAAAAGTCCTGGGCGTTGGAGAAGGTCTGCGAGCAAGTGGAACACTTGCCAGTGGCATCGGGAGGGTATCCCGCGAGCTTCTTGCCGCTGTTGGCGCTGCTGCTCTTCTTGCGACTGTTGGGCGGTGTCTGTTCGACGCCGTGAACGGCTGTCAAGTGGCGCTTGAAGACGTCGGCGCGGTTGAACGACTTCTCAGCCGCTGAACCGGAGCCGGGGCAGAAACCGCACACCATGGTTCCCTTGTAGTGAGTCAGGGTGTGGCGGTTCTTGTCGTACTTGCGGGCGAAACCCTTGACATGGTAATCGCAAGTCACAATGGGGCACTTTTCGGGCCTCTCAGTCTGGTGAGTGAGCATGTGCGCCTTGAGGTCCTTGAAGACCTTGCCGCACTCGGGATGGGGGCACCTCTGCTTCTCCTTGCCCTCATCGCCGCTGTAGTTGTTGCCATCAGAGTAGGTTGAGGGAAATGAGTGAAGGCTGGGGCGGCGGACGTCTGCGGGAGTGGCGTAAGGGCTGAATTGCTGCTGCTGTTGAAAGCCGCTGTGGAGGAATGGTGATTGACTGCCGTTGCGAACCATTGACATTGACTGTGGCGAGGGCGAGAGGGCGGGAGAGGTAGGATACTGGTTGGGGTTCTGGAAGTTGCTCATCATGGGGCGGCTGATGTCGGGGTGAATCAGAGAAGGGTCTGGAGCGGAGAGGTGGTCAGCGGGCGTTCCGCGATAAGGATGATGCTGCTTGACAGAGGAAAACCAACAAGAAGAACCAAGAGGAGCGATGAAATGACCGCTGCTCTGAGAAAAGAAAGTAGAGACTCGAGGAGTCTTTGGCGAATGGCCCCAGACGGGAGCCGGAGGAGAAGAGAAGGAAGTAGAGCTAGGAGAGACAAAGGACAAGCTTGACTTGCGCGATGCGGGCGTGACGGGGGATGAGGAGGACGAGTGAGTGTCCGGCACCGGGCCCGAGTCGCGCACACGCACAGCTGAAGCTATAGCTGTATTTGTACAATGAGAAGAGCCAATTGACTCGTGTGAAGCAGAAGGAAAAGAAGAAAGCGCGCGAGAGGAGGGCGCGAGAGTGGTTCTAGAAGCGTTTGGCAACTCACCCACGAAACCCGGGGGCTTGGTGTTTGCAAATTCAAAAGTTGCAAAGTCTTCCATACCTGGGCCGGCGTAGGTCGAGTACTCTGTACCGGCGGTGTTGTAGTAGTCGTGGGGCACGATGCCCGGGGTCACAGCGATGCCGGGGTGCGCCCAGTCGAGGATTGGCGCCGGCTGGTCGTTGTGGGATTGGGGCGAGCCTACGTTGGAAGAGGCCGCCGATGGTGCTGATGCGGTAGAAAGGTTGGAAGAAGGCAACTGGAACTCGGCGTCTTCGTAAAGGCCAGGTGATGTGCGTCCTTGATACATAAAGTTGTTGTCGTAGAGGGCGGGCTGGTGATCCATTGCCATGGAGGTTGGGAACATGTAAGAGGCGTCGGCAGGGATGCTCATCTCCATGGGTGCTGTGCTGAAGACTCCCTGTGGTGGCTCGGGGTAAAGAATGTAGTCGTCGTGGTGCTGGGGGCTCAAGTGCCTGGGGAGCATGGTATATGACTGGTCTATCGAAGCCATTTTGTAGGTAGAGATAGACGACGTGTGTGTGTGTGTGTGTATGATGATGTGGTGAAGAGAAGGGAAAAGGGTGATGATCTGTGGAAGGCCTCTCGGTCAAATCCGAGTTGCGAAGTCCTCAAGTCGATGTTATATGGTTGGTTGGTTGGGTTCGCTCAGTCCGAAGCAAAGCCACACTCTTCTCTCAGTTGCTTTTATGCCGTCACTGCTAAGATACCCGCTGCTGTCAGTCGTCTATACTATTTGACCTGCTAAAAACTGCTGCGCTGTGCTGCGCCTGCTTGGATGTGGGGCTGGTGAGCGCACCTGCAGCGATGTTCATGCCCGCGGCGTTTCCGCGTTGTGAGGTACCGGGCCGTTGGATGATTGGCGAATGCCTTTCTCTCTTTCTCCGAGCTTTGCTTTGCTTTGCTGGCGGTAGTATGCCTCCGAGGATATGGGTTGTTCCTGACTGACTACGAAAAGACGTATTGCCGCGCAAGGTAGCCAAACGTAGTAGCAAGTGAGTGAGTTGTTGTGCTTGCTGGCGAGAAGGAAGCAAGTGACGGTTTGGGTGGAGGATATCTTTCTCGAAAACGTGAGACAGACTACTCTGCTAAGTGATGGACCGTGTCGTCTTGGTGTCGTGGGAATCCAGAGATCTGGGTTTGATAGATAGATGTAGTAGAGACTGATGGAGGCGAGAAACAAATCACCAAGAGCCTTGGGGGCTTCACGACTGATATAGACCGGCTGCGAGCTACGCTCTTGTCGAGAGAGAGAGAGAGAGAGAGAGAGAGAGAGAGAGACAGACGCAGAGACAAGAGACCACCACATCTTGCAGACCGGGGGCACATGGGTTCGACGGCCGTGGCTTGCTTGCTGTTGGCACTTGGGACCCGGTGGACGACGCGGATCAGTCTCCTCCAGATGGTGAACCCCCAAAGTGGACAGGGGACCAACGCCCAGGGGGCGGAGGGGTGCTTTTCCTGCAATGTCGACAGTCTCGTAGGGCAGAGCAACAAGCACAAAACCGACGAGAGCGAGCAAGCGGCAGCGGCAGCGGCAGCAGCAACGCCAGAGCGAGAGGCGGTACCGTACCGTACGCCGACCTTGCGGCAGGGGTCAGGGGGTGGACGAGCGGAAAGGGGGCGTGGTGGGGAGGAGGGTGGTTGCTGGTCCTCGACGTGGGTGTGGGCGTGAGCCCTTGTCCATGGAGGCGTGTGGGTGTGCGTCCATGGTCCAGAGGCGGCTTCTTCGTCCCTCGTTCTTGTTGCTCCTCCTCCTCATCCTCGCCTGTCTGCACCATCTCCTCTTGTCCCCTCTGCTTCCGTGGATACCTCATTTAGCGCAAGATACGCACCAAAACGAACTAGCCTTGCTTGACTTGGCTGGGGGCTCGGCCTGAGGACACCGGGAGGTAGAGCCACGAAACAGCGTCCATTCCAGACTCGGGTTTTCGACCTTCGACTGCGAGCCTTTTCGACACTTTCAAGAGACTGAGAGAGAGAGAGAGAGAGAGAGAGAGAGAGAGGGCGGGGGCGTGTCCTCTATCATTGTCTCTGCCCATTCATGCGGGATGCCAAGATCTGTCTCTGAACTGGTCTCTCATTTCTATCCGTTGTGCTCTCTGAGCCGTCTGCCGCGGTGGTGTACCACAGAGACAGACATCCATTAGCTTTGGAGGGAAAAGGAACCATCTGTCGTCGACAACTTCAGTACGCCGTATGCGTGGATGGAGACCGGTATCTGGGAACAAGATGGTGACGGCCAGCCATAGAGATGGGTACCTAGCTCACCCGGTACTCAGTACTTGGCCGGTCAAGCTGGTGGCCTCCCACAACCAGGCTTCACACCCACTGCCACGCTACAGAATGGCAGCCAGCACCCCCTGGGCCAATGCTGACCAGGGCCGCCAAACCCCCCAGCAGATCGGGCCTTGGGACACCCTGGCACAAAGAAGCACGGTAGAAGATACTTCTCGCATGTACAAGTGGCTTGCGGAGCAGCATCAAGTTGTGTGCAGACCCTGGTATCTGGCAAAACTCCCCTTGAGCGGTCCAGCACTTCTCGGGTCCTGTCCCAGTAGACGCGAGGGGCCTGACAGGGGCCCCAAATGAGACAGGCAGCGAAGGTGCAGATGCTGTGCGAAGCATTCCCAGGCAGTGACTTGTCAGGCCCGGTGCCCAGTTGGGAGTCCCCGTCCTGCAACTGTATGTAGCTTATTTCGTAGTCCGGTAGCCTGTTGCCAGCGTACGAAGAAGCAGAGCCGTTCCCCCGCCAGTCAGGTGTGGTGCTGGGGGCGTCGCTCTCCGCCGCCGCGGGATGCCGTCGGTATGATTTGCATCTATTGAGCCGTCTGCCGTGCACGCCGTGGTAGGTGTTGACGTCGCCGCAACCGGGTCGCGAAGCACTACACCAACTTCCCAAGCACTCCGTAGGGCTCAACCATCCGTTTCCGCTCTGCTGCCGGCCATGCGTCCAGCGTCCCTTGGTTCGTCCTCCATGAACAAGGACATATATTGGATCGCCAGTGTATATGCAGGTCATGTTGCGAGGCCGGTCTGCACAATGACAGAAGTATCCGTACAGATACGTCTCTCGGTCTATGCAGCGCTTTCTTCTTTGTGTACCACTCTCCCATCAACTCTTACATCAAAAAAGCGTCGCAACTTTGGTCCGTACCGTAAAATTCAAGGACCTGTAAACAGCAAGCGGTATATGCAAGGTCCTCCATGTGCTGACGGACGTAAAGCAACGTGAGGGTTCGAAGAAAAGAAAGTTGACTTGGAAATAGTGTGCATGAAGCACGTCCAACAGCTACAGCCACAGCCCCCTTTCGCCAACCTCAGAGCCAAATGTGGATAGTAAGAACCAAATTTGTATCTTGGAGCGACAATAACTCGCCAGTGTGCGTCAGATGCGTCAGTGACAGCTAATGCGCTCCGCATGTTAGCCTCGAAATGGCATAAACTCACTCCAAAATGGGGTTCATCGTGAGCGAGGGGGGAGCGGGTTATTGTGGAGGCACTGGCGGGAGGTGCTGCTGCGGTGTACTTTCTCCCACACTATGTGAGTCTGTCTGTATTCGTACTCTGTCTCTGTATGTTGCGCCAGTACGCATATGGTGTTGCGTTGCTTACTCTAGGTAAGGTGGTGAGGTGGTTGAGGGGCGGGACATTTTTACTCACTGCACACTGCGGGTGCTCGTGCTGTGCTGAACAAGCCTCCTTCATCCCAGGCCCAGGGATCAATCTCAGTGCGATTTTGGACGTGAGTGTGGGAGTTGGTCCAATGAATGGCGTCGCGCCTCTCTCCACGCTTGCAGCCCGTGGCAGCACTTTGGTGTGCAAGCCGGGCCCGCCTCCGACTTGTTGGTGTGCACAGCCCGGCCTTATCCGTCCCTCTACGTTGTTAGTCGGAGCCTTTAGAGGTTGGACATGACATTGGATGTCCTGCAGTCACCCCATATCGTGCTGCTCCAGGCGGTGCCTGGAGTGTGGGTAGCACTGTCGACTGGATATAGCGACCTCGAACCATCCGACGGCGCCTGTGCCTCCTCAAAGATAATGGGATCATGTACGGGCCGGAGAGAGAGTCTGTACCGATCCAGCGCTTTGTGACGGCCACCAACGTTGCTGTTCCTCCCGCCCTGCCTTGGGATGACGATGCGTGTCAGCATCTTGTTCGTGGTATCGTGTCCCAAAACGGTATCCGGGCAGCTCAATCTTGTCAAGCCTCCAAGTTCCAGTGTGCGGGAAAGCTTGCATCGTACATGTTCGACTAGCAGAGACAATAAGGTGGGCTGGTGGTTCAAAGTCTTCGTTGAGAACAGCCGTCCGGGCCCCCGGCCACGACACGCGGCAAAACATCGAGTTTCGAAGAATCACGACGGCCCAGATAGAGTTCCACGACCAAAGCGGCGTGACTGAGTCTCTTGTCTGTGATGCCATGCCAATCCGGGCTGGCGGGTTTGTTGGCGGGTTTGTTGGCTGGTTCAAGGGTTCAGACGTTGGAAGGGTTCCAGAGCCGTTCGGTCATAGTCATTGCACGCTAGACGCACCACGTCGCGGCAGCGCTCTCTAGAGGCGTATTCCATCCAGTCGATGGCCAGAGGTCGAAATGGCCAGAGTTCGAAATGGCCCAGTCCGAGACTTGATCTTTGGTGCAACCGACCCCTTGGGAAATGTTTGTGCGGCAGGTGGAGACCAGAGTTCTGGTGGTTAGATGCTTTTTTTTCGTCCTCAGTCCTCATGCCACCAAGCACCGGCCACGATGAGACAAAAGGCTAGTGTCGACCTCTGGAAGATTCACGTTGTTGCCATTCAACGCCTCGTCTCCATTGTGGCAGGCAAACCAGGGCTCCTAGATAGCCTTTCTCGGTTTGTTGCTTTGGCGTTGCCTCGCGACTACTTGCCCTGGCGGTCTCAAGCCTCTGCACAGAGTATGACACGTCGAACTCCTGGATAATTATGTGTGTCGCATTGGGTTGGTGAACTCGAGACGTGAAGCCGGACCATTGGAACATCATCGTCCGCCGGCGTACCAAACAATGCTTTCTTGCTAGCGCGCAGGACTGTGATGGAAATTGGAGTATTTCACTAGTCTGCGTGGGATTACGGCCGTTGCCGCACGGGCTGAACAAGGGTAATCTCTCTCTCTCTCTCTTTCTCACTCTCTGACTCTCTCTGATGTTGCTAAGTCACGACGATGTTGCTTCTCGACTTGTCGCTAATGCCCTGGAGAGTAACATTGTCCAAAGCATAGTTCGCAATATCAGTCGCATTCAGACGTACACGTATAGGGCGGTTTCGCTTGGCGAGATTCGATGCGCTACTGACCACAGCATTCCGCATCATGGGTCGCCAACCGGGGCAGCTCACACGAGGCACCCATGGAGGCCATGGGAGCTTCGAGTCGTCTCCGCACTGCAAAAAAAAAACCGTAGAGAGCCGACGTGGTATAGCATCGTCCATCGAGACATGTCGCCCGAT